TGATGCCTCCTACCTGGGGTTGGGTTTGTTCTGATGCAGCATGGTAAGGTCATAACTTATGGATCCAAGCAGTTGAAGAATCATGAGAAAAATTACCCCACCCACAACTTGGAACTTGCCGCCATTATTTACGTCTTAAAGGCCTGCCACTACTACCTGTATAGGGAGACTTTTGAGATTTTTACTGAGCATAAGAGTTTGAAGCACATATTCACTCAGAAAGACCTGAACATGCGTAGGAGGCGTTAGATAGAGCTCCTCAAGGATTATGATCGTAATATCTTGTATCACCCAAGTAAGGGCAATGTAGTAGCTGACGCGCTCAACAAAAAAAGTGCAGGTATGTTAGCTCACATAATAATTTATGAATGCAGAGTAATAGGGCCGCACAACAGATACGACTTCAGTACTTAAAGAGAGTTGCATGCTTGACCTACCTAACTGTCCAACCCGAATTGATCCAGAGAATAAGAGAAGTCCAATTAACCGATTCCACCACAGTTACCCTCAAGAAAGATGTAGAACAGGGAGTACATCCAGAAGTTCGAGTCTCTGCTGATGGATTGCTCAGGTTTCAGGACAAATTGTATATTCTAGATGATAGTGAACTAAAAATTGACATCATAACAGAGGCTCACAACTCTAAGTTCGCCATACATCTCGAAAGTACTAAAATGTGTTAAAATATGTAAACCCGATTTTGGTAGAGTGGAATGAAAAGAGAGGTAGCCGACTTTGTTTCCAAGTGTCTAGTATGCCAACAAGTTAAGGCATAACATCAACGTCCAAACGAGTTACGTCAGCCATTACCGATTCCGGAGTAGAAATAGAAACATATCACAATAGATTTCATAACAGGGTTGCTTAAACCACGCTCAGGATATGATGTCATTTGGGTAATTGTCGATCGACTCACCAAGTTTTCTCACTTCTTGGCTATCAAGATGACCGACCCCTTTGACAATATAGCAAGAATGTATATCCGAGAGATAGTCATATTACATGGAGTTCCAGTGTCAGTGGTATCCGACAGAGATCTCAAGTTCACTTCTCGATTTTAATCTAGTTTTCAACAAATCATGAAAACGAAACTATCCCTTAGTACCGCATTCCACCCTCAAACCGATGGACAATCAGAGATGAAGATTCGTACACTGGAGGATATGCTCCGATCTTGCGTTCTACACTTCAGGGACCATTGAAATGATCACCTACCTCTGATAGAGTTCGCCTACAATAATAGCTACCAGGCAAGTATCGGCATGGCTCCTTATGATGCATTGTATGGCTGCCCATGCAGATCGCCAATCTGTTGGAAAGAGGTAGGTGATAGAAAATTATTTGGCTCATATATTGTGAATGAGACTATAGCCAAGATAGTTAAGATCAGAAATAATATCTAAACAGCTCAGAGCAGGCAGAAAAGCTATGCAAACTCCCGGATGAGGGATTTAGAATTTGAGAAAGGTGACTGAGTGTTTCTTAAAATCACTCTTTCAAAGGGATCAGTAAGTTTGGCAAGAGAAAAAAATCAAATTCCTAGTTCATTTGACCATTTAAGATCTTAGACCAGATTTGTACGACTGCCTGTAGACTAACACTACCTTCAGAGCTATCTAGGGTTCATAATGTATTTCACGTATCTATGCTACGCAAGTACAACCCAGACCCCTCACACATTCTATCCCACAAGTCTTTTTTACTTCAGGAGGACCTATTCTATGAGTAGGTATCGATAAGCATTGTAGACCAGAAGAGTAAAGTATTCTACAACCAAGAAATTCCATTTATTAAGGTTTTATGGCAGAACAATATGCAGGAAAAAGCCACTTGGGAACTGAAATCAAGGTTTAGGGCCGAGAACCCCCAGCTGTTCAACTGAGTGAGAGAATGACCAATTTGACAGACCAAATTTTCTTAAGTGGGGGAGAGTTTTACAATATCAAGACCTAAAAAACGACCCGATATAAATTTTTTATTCTTTAATTATTAATTTAAAATAATTGATTAATTTATTTTATTTTTATTTAAGTAAAATTTTGAGAAAAAATGAATTAGAGACGAGATTGAAAACAATTTTGAGAAAAAATTGTGAAAATTTGAATTCTGAATATGTTTTTAAAAGAAAAATTGGAAACAAGAGGTCAAAGTGCAAATAAAGAAAGTTCGGCCACGTAGGACTGCCTAGTCAGCAGTCTCGACAAACCGGAGCATACCGCGTGACAAGGCGTGCTGATGTCGGTGCCACGCGGGAGGCCATACTAGCAATCCGCGTACCTTGCGATCGGATGGTCCAGGATCGATCCTGCGCGCATGGATGGCCTGGATTTGTTTCTCCCTTAGACGCAATCGGACGGTCGAGATTAATCACGATGAACGACCAAGATTTGTTTTCTCCTTAGGCGCGATCGAACGAACAAGATCACTCATGATGGACGGTACAGATCAACGCGGAATCGTTATAAATACTTCGCATCACACAGGAACCTAAATCCTAGCCGCCAACCTCCGCCGGAAAAGAAGAATCAAACACCGGAGAAGGAGGCCGACTGCCAACCGCTGTCGTACCGGAGCCACCGCCAACCGTCAAAAAAGGTAAAAATTTCCTACCCACTCAGAATTCGATTCTGAGTACTCTCGTAGCCAAATTGGAGCAAGAGGAACGACGGGTGAGCCGAAAATCGCAGGTAAAGTCTGGCAGAGCCACGGCGGCTAAAACTCCAAAATCCCTCCGATGAGTCCCTTTTCGATTCTTGTTTCACGTGATTTTTCGATTATTGTGTTCACCGTCCTTTTCTTTGCAAGATACCTGAAGAAAGAATCTCAGTCGCGAAGGAGGACCGGCGGAGCCGCCGCACCTGAAAGTCTCCCCGCTGGTAGGTTCGATTTTTTTGTGATTTTCCGGCCAACTAAGGCCCCTAACGTGTTTTTCTGCACGGATACAGCCAAAACCAGTCAAAATCAACCAAAACCGGCCAAAATCGACCAGACCGAAGCGAATCGCCGCCGTGGGCGGCGAAGCCAACGCTGGAGCACAGCGTTGCCGCCGTGCTGGAATTCCAAAATTGACCGGAATGAGTTTTGGACACCGATTTTGGATTTTTGAAATATTTTTAAGTATGTGACGATTATTTTGAATTACACAGGAAAAATGCAGAGAACCCGGTACCCGTTAGGAGGCGTATTAGATAGCTCAACATCTCAAAACACCGATCCGGGTGAGGATCCCTCACCCTATTCTCCGTTACGGTAAATTGAAGCTTAAAGTTGTATAATTTTGTGTTTTTGTGAAAAATTAGAAAATCCTAAAAATAATTACAGGTTACTAATGGAGCCGAAATCGATTAGTTCACAATTATCTTGATTCTTATCTATTTTTCTGTACTGTCCTACTTACTTGATTTTCGTATAGCACATGTTCTTAATTTTATAGTTCAATAGTCTTATCAACTTATCTAGTTATTTTGTTTATATACCGTAAGCATGAATATAGTTTAACTGATCCGTTAGGAGGCGTATTAGATAGCTCAACATCTCGAAACACCGATCGGGGTAAGGATCCCTTACCCTATTCTCCGTTACAGTAAATTAAACCTTAAAGTTGTATAATTTTGTGTTTTTGTGAAAAATTAGAAAACCATAAAAATAATTACAAGTTACTAATGGAGCCGAAATCGATTAGTTCACAATTGTCTTGATTCCTGTCTATTTTTCTGTACTGTCCTACTTACTTGATTTTCGTATAGCATATGTTCTTAATTTTATAGTTCAATAGTCTTATCAATTTATCTGGTTATTTTGTTTATATACCGTAAGCATTAATGTAATTTAGTTGATCTGTGAATATTATATGAGATATTAATATGAGTTCATTGGTTGTTTGCTATAAGAATCTTTATGTGAAAAACTTATTGGATACCCAGAGAAATGGCGAACAGGTCCGGTACATGGGGAAGCCTACCATGAACGCTATCTCAGTCGGACGGGATTAAGAAATCCCTTACCGAAAAAATTTAGGAGATATGATTCACCCTCATACCGGACGGGTATCGAGGCGATGAAATGTTTGGTGCCCATTACCAGATGGAGAATGGAGACGGCTAGCTAATTGTTAAAATTAGATATTGGGTTCACGAGTAGGGGAGACAACCCCTATAGACCCCCAGAGGTACCAGTAAGTAGGTAAGAAAAAAAAGTTATTATTTCTCGTTCTCTTATGTGTGAAAGTGAAAAGTGATATGCATATGGATTTTCATATATTATTTTTGGAAAATTCATTACGGTAAATACGGAATAAATGGTTTTCTTTATATTAAATGAATTTACTTAAATTAAGTGCTACATTAGTGGTTTTATGATTTTTACCAATTTTCAGTTTTTCGTATTTATAATTAGTGTGATATTTTTACTACATTAGTATAATTCACCCTTTCATTAACTATTTTAGATAAAGAGAACCAAAATCCTTATCCCGATCAATAAGAGGATTGTGAGTATTTCACTATCCATACTTCCTTCAAGTGCTAATGAAGGCTATTTTAAAATGTTTAGTTATTCACTTTTCGTTTTATTTTTTTAATTTTCGTTTGTCTTTTAGAAAGAATATTCTCGTAATTCTATTGGGCATTCAAAATTATTGTGTAAATATGTAAACTCTAACTCTATTAATCGCTTCCGCATTAAATTTATGAATTTATTTCTTTTTAAGTTCCGGATCTCTACAAAGGGACCCACGTATTGGCATTAGACACTCGAGTATCCAGGTAACAAGTATTCTACAATATAATCAGAGTAACAAGGCAGCTAACCAACATTCATTATTCTCATAGAGATTTTACAAAAGTCCAGCAGCACCTAGTTTGTCCCCTGTTGAACTCAACATATTCTATTTCAGCAGCTCTTACAGAAACCAATAGTAGGAAAAGAGTTCCCATCAGAGCCACATAAACACAAAAGATGAGTGGATAAAATGCTAGGAGTAAGGAATTATAGGAAATTACTGTCAGCAAATTCAGATGCTACGGCCTCCATATCGCTCGAAGGATTCCACATGGCTCCAGCTAACACCCCAATTGTTGATATCAAAACTTTTCTTCGCACAAAATCATGTCTATAAGCAATTGGATTACTTTCACCTAGGAAGCATAGAGGCGACTTTTCAAACAAAGATAACCAAAAATAATATTTCTTACATCAGACAACATCAGAATGATAGAGCAAAGGGAAATTAGAGAGAGCGAGAGAGAGAGAGAGAGAGAGAGAGAGAGAGAGAGATTCTGAATAATGCTATAGTTATACATAATTGAAAGAATGGCATCCATGCGAACCATGCCATCATTAAAAGAATTTCACGATTTGGAATCAAAGGTCACAATTTTTTCTTTCACATAAAACAAAAAAAAACCAGTAAGGAATAGTTACTTACCGCAAGAACTTGAATAAAAAACTCCATAGTATCGCTGAAAAGATTGAGCCACTACTGGTCGGCGCCACTTCTGAAACATCACGAGACAAATGGGAGAAACTTTAACGGACACTTTCATCATTCAGATTAAACAAAACGAAAGGAAAAAAGAAAAAACGAAAAAACAAGATTCCAGAATAGACGATGGTGTACTGCAGGTGAAGCTCTTGAAGCAGATAACGTCAGGGACTGCGGAAGATAGCCAATGGCCGATATTGACGCCATTGATAATGTCAGAGGTCGGGGGAAAAATGTAGAAACGTTTCGCGGGAAGATAAAGGCCTCAGATTTTGTGGAGCCTTCTACGCTCTCCGTGGGCCTGGTTTTAATTAAAATTTCAGTTCGGTTTATTTTGTTATCTTTTTGGACTTTATTTTTTGGGTTTACACATTATTATGCACCATGTTTATAATTGTGACTATAGTAATTATATATAAAAATTAAATATTTTCTCATAAATCTTGGAAATAAAACTTTTACTAAAACACCTATATATACACATATTACATTAATAATTTTTATTTTATCTTTTCTAATACTTCACTATTTTTTGGCTCTTTCCTTTTGCATAAAATGAAATAAACATAGATCAAAGATAGAATTAAATTAAAGACATTTTATCATCTGTTTTCCTTTACATTTTAATTACTTAAACTCCAAAAAAAATTCAAATGTGAGATATATACCATAAAAATAGTTTACTAAAGAACTAAGGTCTTCAAATTTAATAAACATTATCAAAAATCATATGCTTTTAGATAGACGCATGATAACATTTTTTTGTTTATTATACAAATAAAAAATGTGCAAATGATCTTTGAATTATATTATTTTCATTATACTTAATTGAAAGAAAATATATCTTTTATACTACTTGTTGTGTAAGTTATATTTTTTTCATAATAGAACCACAGTGCTACACAATATGTGTGGCATGCTCTACTTTTTTTATTCGTATATATACATGTTAAGTTTCTATTCTGTATATATAAATATAACAGATATGGCAGTTGCATGGTCACACCCCTCATTAGGGTTTATTTAATTATTTAGATACATATGGTATAGTTTTATAATTAACTATAATACCTTTTATCGATAACTTTAACTTTTGACAGTTAATCGTTGGTTTTAAATGTTGACTGATGATTTTGATCACGTTTTCTAAAAAAAAAAAAATTATTACTGTAACACCCTAAATTAGTTTTTTGTAATTTAGGATTTTATTATAAATATAATAAAATAATTTTTCAATTTTCTTTATTTATCTAGAGTAAAAACTAAAATAAAATTGATGAAAGATTAAATTGAAAATAATTTTGAGAAAAATGGGTGAAAATTTAGATTCTGATGATATTTTTAAAAGAAAAATCAGAAACCAGATGTCAAAATGCGATTTAGAGAAATTTCGCCACATCAAACGCCCGGTCAACAAGC